CATTATGATAATCAAAGACCAAGGAGCCCATTCAGCATGCAGACAATGTGTCATGTAATCACGCTTCTCAGGGGAAAAATTCTGGTTGAATTTTATATCCCCCAACATGCAAGTTATATTTGTAGCTATTTGGGTAATCATCGGCTGTGGAATTCCAGCATCTGAACTCAGTCATTAGAGACAGGTCCAATTTCAAATTGGCTTTCAGGTGATATAGAATTAGAGGAAAATACAAATGGGAATTAAAGTCATTTTAACAAAAAAAGACACATTGAAACATGCTAGGACAAAAGCATCCACTGTTGTGGGCTTGTAATTTTAAACTTAATGAAAGCAAGTCAGGAAATGAGATTTGAATAAGTTATGAGCTAAAATAGCTGGTTTAGATCAGTCATTCAGACAATACTGTACTTATCTGTGAAAACATAGTCCTTGTGGTTTCCAGAGTTGCATTAAGTTGAGGACCCAATGAACTTTGTCATTATTCCAATTTGTTGAAATCTAAAGATTTTTGTAGTGTGATGAGTGAGTGAGTGAGAATGGCTTTACGCAGCTTTGAGCAACTTTCAAGCAATATCACACAGGGACACCAGAAATGGGCTTCACACATTGTACCCATATTGGGAATCGAACCAGGGTCTTCGGCATGACAAGTGGAAGCCTTAACCACTAGGCTACCCGACCACACCTGTAGTGTGATGACAGCCAAAATACAGGACTTATGGCAGTGATGTGATAGAGGTAGGACATCTGCAGGAATACCATGTTCCACATGATCAATAGCCAATATTGCTATCTAATCCACACTCTTTGATATATGTTCCATGTTCGTAATTGGGACTTTCTATTCGAAATATCTCTCCTGGAATAGGAACGTCCAAAAATAAATTTGAAAAGGAGAGATTTCACTTAATGTACATAGGTTAATGGAAAGAATGTGCTGCGAAGTGTCTATTGAAATATCTGTGTACAATACATCACCAGTTAATGCGTTGACACTGACTGAGCAGGTTATTGATGGTCCTCTTACATGCTAACCCTCTGACTCAAATGTTGCTGAACACAGATACCAGCATCACTGCAACCTCAAATTAAAATGGCATCAACGATTTCTGAAAACTACCAAGAAGACTGTTCAGAGAGAACATTCGGCCACAGATAGACATGTAACACTGGAACATATTACACTTGCACAGATTGTCTATACATTCAGCTAAGAACCCTACACTTCCACACACACATACACATTTGAATGGAAAGACACAAAGCTGTAAACGGAAGTCTCAAGTGGAAAGTAGACCCGACTACCATTAAAAGGAAGCTATTCCTTAAAATGGGCGGCCGCTCTACGAGACATTAGTTGATACAAAAGTAGGGATCTTGACACTGGCTGCTGATAATAGGAGGAGGAGAGACTAAATACCAGAGGTGAACACTTCCATTAAGGAGTAGGGACAGGAGGACTGTCATGTGGACAGACAACATGCACCACTGCCGCTGGTGGAAGGTCCCCTGGCTACTCCTCATGTGGACAGACAACATGCACCACTGCCGCCGGTGGAAGGTCCCCTGGCTACTCCTCATGTGGACAGACAACATGCACCACTGCCGCCGGTGGAAGGTCCCCTGGCTACTCCTCATGTGGACAGACAACATGCACCACTGCCGCTGGTGGAAGGTCCCCTGGCTACTCCTCATGTGTACAGACAACATGCACCACTGCCGCCGGTGGAAGGTCCCCTGGCTACTCCTCATGTGGACAGACAACATGCACCACTGCCGCTGGTGGAAGGTCCCCTGGCTACTCCTCATGTGGACAGACAACATGCACCACTGCCGCCGGTGGAAGGTCCCCTGGCTACTCCTCATGTGTACAGACAACATGCACCACTGCCGCTGGTGGAAGGTCCCCTGGCTACTCCTCGTGTACAGACAACATGCACCACTGCCGCTGGTGGAAGGTCCCCTGGCTACTCCTCATGTGTACAGACAACATGCACCACTGCTGCCGGTGGAAGGTCCCCTGGCTACTCCTCATGTGGACAGACAACATGCACCACTGCCGCCGGTGGAAGGTCCCCGGGCTACTCCTCGTGTACAGACAACATGCACCACTGCCGCTGGTGGAAGGTCCCCGGGCTACTCCTCATGTGGACAGACAACATGCACCACTGCTGCCGGTGGAAGGTCCCCTGGCTACTCCTCGTGTACAGACAACATGCACCACTGCTGCCGGTGGAAGGTCCCCTGGCTACTCCTCATGTGGACAGACAACATGCACCACTGCTGCCAGTGGAAGGTCCCCTGGCTACTCATGTGGACAGACAACATGCACCACTGCTGCCGGTGGAAGGTCCCCTGGCTACTCCTCATGTGGACAGACAACATGCACCACTGCCGCCGGTGGAAGGTCCCCTGGCTACTCCTCGTGTACAGACAACATGCACCACTGCCGCTGGTGGAAGGTCCCCGGGCTACTCCTCATGTGGACAGACAACATGCACCACTGCTGCCGGTGGAAGGTCCCCTGGCTACTCCTCGTGTACAGACAACATGCACCACTGCCGCTGGTGGAAGGTCCCCGGGCTACTCCTCATGTGTACAGACAACATGCACCACTGCTGCCGGTGGAAGGTCCCCTGGCTACTCCTCATATGGACAGACAACATGCACCACTGCTGCCAGTGGAAGGTCCCCTGGCTACTCATGTGGACAGACAACATGCACCACTGCCGCCGGTGGAAGGTCCCCTGGCTACTCATGTGGACAGACAACATGCACCACTGCCGCCGGTGGAAGGTCCCCTGGCTACTCCTCGTGTACAGACAACATGTACCACTGCCGCCAGTGGAAGGTCCCCTGGCTACTCCTCGTGTACAGACAACATGCACCACTGCCGCCGGTGGAAGGTCCCCTGGCTACTCCTCATGTGGACAGACAACATGTACCACTGCCGCTGGTGGAAGGTCCCCTGGCTACTCCTCGTGTACAGACAACATGCACCACTGCCGCCGGTGGAAGGTCCCCTGGCTACTCCTCATGTGTACAGAGAGCCTCCTGGCTGGTCCTGCACCATGACTGTGGAATTTATATTTTTTAGATATTTTTTTTACTAAAAGCCTAGGCAAGTCTAGATCAAACTAACCAAGTCTAGTTTGCTTGATTCCACATTAGAAAACAGAAGAGGAAAGGTTCTTTCAAAGAAAAAAGTAAAAAATATTTAAGACATGTTTTCATTGACTAAGTGTTAGTCTACCTCCTGGCTTTGCTTCAGGTCATAATGGTGGCACTGGCTTCATAAAGAAGGGCATGGCTGGAAATATGGCACTCTGGTGTGAGAATCATCTTATTTCGTATCTCATACAATCATTGAGTCAGAAGGTGGCCCTAATGCTGCCATAATGCTGTGAGGAGTAGGCGCCTGGAATTACCATACTTGTGAAAAGATCATTGTATTTCTTATCGTCAACAATCATTGCGTCCCTCCATCAGCCAGAATGGTGGTGATCATTTTCTGAGAAGATGCCTTGAATTACTACATTCTGTTGCTCTGATCATCTTATTTTTTATCTCCAGGGTTCAGAGAAAAGGCCAGCTTCTCGCCTCAGGTGTCCACATAGAACCGGATAAACATTTTCATGGACTATTTCTGTGAACTCTTCAAAAGACGGACTATGAATAGTTACCTTCTGAAGATCAGTGATCAGTAGTGTGTGTGAGTGGTGGGTGAGTGAGTGAGTGAGTGAGTGAGTGAGTGAGTGAGTGAGTGAGTGAGTGAGTGAGAGTGAGTGAGTGCGAGTGAGAGTGAGAGTGAGTGAGTGAGTGAGTGTAAAACCACCTTCAGTATTTTATTCATATCACAGCATGTCATGGTAATGATAGAGAAAAGACCATGTGACACAGGTGCGAGACATTTGCCACTTTGTTGAAACCCACAAACATAAGGAATGGCTCTGACAAACCAGGGATGATGAACAGGGCCAGGTGGGATTCAAATCAGCATCCTGAAGTTCCTGGCAGCAAAGGGCACAGAAACTTGAAGAAGCCAGTTGTGTCCACCCGGCTTATACCACTACTTACAGATACTTCGGGTATCCATAGAGTAGCGATATTGCAGGAATTCATTGTAATTCATGTAATGATATATCTTACCACATGTAGTCTGCATAACATGACATTTTTTAAACTTATTTGATGCCGAACAGAAATTATTTGTACATTTTGATTTGAAGACAAATGCCAGACATGAGAACAGCAAAACTGGTTTTAGGAGGAACATTTCCAATCTAGTTGGGTTTGGGTTTGGGTTTGGGTTTGCCCCCCCAAAGAAAATTTTAAAAACAAGAATTAAAAAAAGTGCATTTAACATGATTCTGAAAGGAAAAATCCCGGAATTCTGGGAATCCGAGGAAAATTCTCATGTCTGAAAAGCTAACTAAAACAGTCTGAACTAATATCTATTTAATGTTGATAACTGCTGCCAGGCTGAATTGTGTCATGTGATAGTCACATACATGAAACTTCTTTCAATATGGGGTTTTACGCCACTGTTAGCAATATTCCAGCAATATCACAGCGGGGGACACCAGAAATGGGCTTCACACATTATACCCATGTCGGGAATCGAACCTGGGTCTTCAGCGTGACGAGTGAACGCTTTAACCACTAGGCTACCCGACCACCCCTGTTCGCATATGGTTTCCTGCCAGTGCTGGCCGAGATCCTATAGGATGATCCTGAGTGTTGCAGTAACTGGACACCTAGAGACGTAGCAGTGTTATTTCTAAAGGACACTCACATCTACAATGCTTACTTTCCTCCCAAGCCAAGTTTGTTGAAAAAACACTTAAAAGAAACTGTAATATCATCGTACGTAAAAACACAAAGAACTAACAGCAAGGTGAATAAAGGTTCTGAGGCCAAAGGAACCAGACTTGGCCAAAATACTGGTGCAATCATGCCACATAGTTGTCTATCTGGTAAAACGTTCCTGCACTTACCCTTTTCTCCCCCAGGTTGAGAACTTTGGTGTGCAGCTGCCTTGTGTATGTCTTCGACCAGTCAATAGGAAGGATGTTGCCAAAATTCCCTGTTATAGTCCACCACATTCTGGAAAGATAACACACGTTTCAGACCAAACAACATATGATAAAGTCACATAAGCAAGTGCATGAGATAAATCTTGTATCAAACAAGCACAGGTATATTGTCAAATGTCACATCAACCTACGACAAGACAAGCGTGGAAAGTCACTGAAAACATTCAAAGCAAAGATCTTTCAGACAGGTTATTCATTTCATGTGCTAGCCATATGAGCCTTCACAATGATTGAAGACAGCTTACCGATCTTTCTTTTTTAAGTGTTTCCTAAGTGTAAAGAATCTGTATAATGTCCTCAAATCCCTGGGCCAATTGAAAGTTGTAGCTGGTCAAAATGAATCCACTTCCAGGGGAAATCGATTTTCATTTTCATTCTTTCTTAATAGTATTTGGCTCACTTACAGGAACTTGCCAGACAAATTACCTCAAGTTAATGACTTCCATATTCATCAATGTGTCATTTCCTGCACTAAATGAAGTACAAGACTGTGTCACACACCCCCAAACTACCTGCTTCTAGTTCCTCCATGAAAGACTGAGCATTATACATATTCAATTCTGTTGAATTCATGAGCATGCCTGAGAGCATCTGAATTTTGTCTTAAACTTGTGACCTGTGTTACTTTTGTATCAACATTTAATGAGCAGGGCCCTGTTGCAGAGAACGATCTTAGCGCAAAGATGATCGTAAACCCCATACTTTAACATTGACTTATGGTAGTCACAGTACAAAGATTGTTTTGTGGAACGGGCCTTGGGCCGAGTTTAGTGCTGTGACTGTTAAACTGGTGGATACGACAATCAAAGCACTACAATCATGTTGCTGAACATGGCCCAGGAACTGAACATCTGCTTTCCGGTTGTTGATTCTGTTAAAGCATTCTGTTCTTTTCTTTTGCTAGGCGACAAAGATACTTTTTTTCCATCAATAATGCAAAAAGGAAATGATTTACACCACAGTCAACAATATTCCAGGTAGTTGAGTCTGGTACAGGCAAACCAGTGGTTGAAATCATGAATACATTGTAAGCACTTTCAGTTCCCTCTTGTTACAAGCATGTGGTGGGGTGATCTAGTCTAACCAAGAAAGGTGCAACAGGAATAAATATCCGACAAACATTACATGTCATATTGTGCTGGCACAGGGTCTTGTGCAGTGGGCACTGTTCCACAAAGCGATCTTAGCGCTATGACTATCGTAAGCCAGTGTTTAATTACGGGAGTTACGATCACCTTAGCGCTAAGATGGCTTTGTGGAACCGGGCCCAGGTCACAAATTAGGTGAAGCTAAACAACTGGATGGATGACCGTGGTCAGCAGCTTGGCTCCTGAGAGTTTCTAGGGCTTCGGTCTTGCTACACACTGAAGCAGATGTGACACATGTGATGTCTCTTTGAGCAAGTGACTTTGTTTGAAAGGGGCCTCTGGTCACTCAGCAGTGAATGGGTACCCAGTAGGATGAGATGGCAATGTTGTTGTTAACCTTCTAGTGCCTCACAGGCAGCTTGGGATTATTCCCCGGGAAGCTGATGAACACGGATCCATTGACCGAGGTAATAATGCGCTTTGAGCATGATATTCAGCATGGAAAAAGCGCCATACAAATGGACAATTATCATCATCATCAAGATTATTATTATTATTATTATTATCCTATATTTTTAAAGACTTAAAACTAACAATATGTAATCTGTGCACATAACGCTACATTTAATACAACTCCATCAAATATTGTTAGTCCATAAACTGTTAACACAAACTATCTGAAAAATGTTTTATTTTTCCAAGACTTATTTCCATCCTGCCTATGAGTCAGCCAGCGGAAACTGTCATCACAAATAGACCTTCCATGAATATCAAACACTACTTCATCCAAAGACTCAGATCCGTGGCACTAAAATACCTCCTATACTCTCCTCTTGCCCAAACCATTACCATAATTACTTATCAACATTACACGACTGCATGTCTCACACAAACATCAAAGTCTTACATCATGAAACACGGCAAGCACCTGCTAATGTCACAAATCCTTTGATAGTGCAGCCCAATCCATGTGGTATCAAGCACAAGGACAGCAGCAGATTGGAGCCACCATTGATGCCAAGGAGCTGCCACCAGAGCCTGCAAGTCCTTACAACTCAGTGTATTTACTTAATTAGTCACCAAGCTAATGGCTGGCCTCTGGCTAGTGACACCATGATAACCTGATGGACTGTGTTCATCAGTCGAAATTCGATACAATGGCTAGGTCATATTACTCAGTCGCCCTACAATACATACAAATAGGGGAAATATTCGGTGTACATTATTTCTTATTACATATGTCCTTCTCAAACATGCCATCTTTTACAATGTCACAATACATTACCTCCATTAAAAACAGACATGACCCATGTATCTTAAATATTATTTTTGAAAATAATCAGAGATTCATCTAAAGATTCAAAACTAAGAGCTCCTGGCAGGCAATTTGGAAACAGAAAATAGGTATTTTGCTCAAAATTGGGACCTTTTTTATATATTAAAGTTCATTTTTTCCTAAATTCAGACGTGTTTCATCATTGTAATTTGACATTGCATTCAATGCAATAACATAAAGCTAAGCATTAAAACCTATTCCTATTTAGTGGTCTTGTTATCAGTGAAATACAGGTTAAGTCTACAATGCAATAAAATTAGTTTTTAGTTATATAAATGAATTGGGAAATTTATATTTCCAATCTGTGATCTTTTAATGACATTTGCTGAGTATCGTCCTCCCAGCAGGTCTAGATAAATCCCTGATAATTCTATAAATATTATTTCTCAAGTAACTTATAAACTGAATGATTATATGCCTAATTAAATTTATCATGACAGAAAATGCAAGCAGATGAAAATGTACATCCCTGTGGGAAATCACACCTATGTCTTCAGTTTGACAAGCCAATACTCTAACCACAAGACTAACCCATCACCCCTTTCTCCACAAAACTGTTGTACATTGGCAATAGAACTGAAAACTCCAGAACTCTGACCACTCAAATGTTAGAAAGATGTGTATTTTACATCACAGGTTGTCTGAATTTATAATTTACATAAAACCATTTGAAGCTCACAAGGTTCATCTTCAGCCTAACTACCAGTAAAAGTACAACAAAAATCATATTGAAAGGATAAGATGTTTTTAGTAAATGCCTCTGCTAATCCCAATATGGCCCCCCTCATTCGTTACCACTCGCCTCTTTCCGTAACCTGCAAGAAGACTCGTCCCCATATTGATGAATGTTGTGTTCAAAAATACGACAAACCAATCAGAATGTGATCATGATTTCAAGTTCTTCGTTAAAGAATCCCTCAGAAATAATTTTTTGATTTTACATGTGTCCTGCATATAAAAATATACCCAAGACACAGTTAAATATGTTCAATCATACTGTATAAGTCTGCACGTCCCGATGTGCTTTAAATTGCATCTGAAATACATATAATATATGGGGAAATATATGTGTACCATTATGCAACGAGTTGACAATTGTTTTATGTATGCCCATTTGCGCTAAGACAGAACCTGGGCGCAAAAATGGCCATGAGGGGGCACTAGTCGCTATTCGGCTTGTCCCGGAATTAAAACGAGTTGGTCACGAATGAAGTGATCTTGTTCTGATTACCCAGCTGATTGTAATTTAAAGGTGAGACCGTACATTTTTTATTTAATGTTTCACAGATTTATTCCAGCTTTTCCACACAAGGTCGGTCGAAGTAAAACTAAAATTAAATGTCAATCATAAATGTATATGAAGGTCATTCTGCCGTGGAGTTAAAACTGCAAATGACCTCTTGAATCACTGATAGTGGACAAGGAATTTACAGATTTTTGCATTTTGCATTGGATCAGAGGGTCTATATTACTAGCAGGACATAATAAAAGTAAATATTTTATGTTTATTTTATTTTTCAGTAGGGGCAGCAGGCCTGTGAAACAAAAATAAAAATGTGTCGCCTGAGGTGAGTCATGTTCCAATAGTATTGCATGTATATACAGTGATGTGCATGCACGTGTGTGTGTTGATGGTTGTACTAGTCCAGACATTTGTCATTTCTGAAGTGCCAGCCCACTCAGATACCATGTTGCAGTATAACATGTATATCCCAGCCAGACACAGATACTGATCACCAACCATTCTTTGTCTTACCCCCGTAGGCAGGATGACAACAAATACCAGCTTTTAGTATGACCCACCTGGGGATCAAACCACAGACCTGCCGCTCTCTTGGCAGACTCTCTACCACTAGACCATGGACGCAGTCTTTTTATTCAAAGAACCGACTCACTCTCTCTGCAGCGGTACTCACTGTTTGTGGCCAAATAAAGAGCACACATACATGAAAAAATAACTGACAGCATAACAGTAGTATACATGCACTGAGGGTTGTCAGTGTAAATGTCGGATATTGAGTGAGTGAGTGAGTGAGTGAGTGAGTGAGTCAAAATTTTACGTCACATCAGCAATATTTGAGGAATACCGTAACGAGACAAAAGCATACATTAATAACAAATATATTTAGAGTGTATAAAATCCTGTCTACCGGATATTGATGTACCAATACATTTTCAATGTTGATACTGTTACAATGTATTGATACATATTTATGAATATCAAGACTAAATTTATTATTCACTGCCACAGAAACATTTACATTATCAAGATTACCATGGTAAAGAGGGTCAATAGGAGGGCAGAAAATTCAATTTTAAACATTTAATGGATTAGCCTAGTTCATATTTAGCATAGGTTGATTAATTACAGGTATAGATTGAATTTTTTATCTATACATATATAGAATAACTAAATTTTTATAAATCTATATATATCTTGATACTTCTGAATCAATATGCAGCTGCAATCAGACACGGTTGTGTCGAAGTCGAAGGGACCTGTGTTAATACTTTGAGTTATACGAGGTTCTACACAACCGAAAATGCTGAATAAAGAAGGATTACGCAGAGACCATGCTTTTACTC